GGGCAGGTGGTCTCCTGCTGCAGGCTCTCGGCCACGCTCCCGGAGGCCATGGCGCGGCCCGCCGGAGCGCACGGGCATGGGCCCCGGCGCCGAGCTCTGCGCGGGGCCCAACTCTCCTGCGCTCTCTCCGGCTCGCGGCTCTGGGGCGGCACCGGCGGGCGAGCAGGGCGGGAGGAGGGCGGCGCCTCCTGGGCCCGGATCCCAGACGCGCCCGCGCGCCGGAGCCCCGGAGGGGCCGGGTCGCTCCCCGCGCCGCCGCGCCCTGCCGAGCGAGCGCGGGAACACCGCTGCCTCTCCGAGCCCCGCGGCTTTTCTAGGGGGCCAGGAACGGGGCTCCAAGGGACAAAATTACAGGACCCGGCGCGCAGAGCGCGCGAGACAACGTGGCCGCGTCCGAGCGGATCCCGGCGGCCGCGTAGACCCCACCCCGGCGCGAGCGGAAGAGGCGGCTCGGAGGGGCGGGGCTTGGCCCGCGCCTCCCGCGAGTGACACGGTTTCTTGGCCTCGGGGCCTGGGCCGTTTCCTTCTGGAGCGAGCAGGGAGGCCCCGCCAACCTCCTTTGGGCCGGAGCTCTAACCTAGGGGATCGGTAACAAGGGCAGGCGGTGTCTCGGGGCGCGGCGGTGACCGGGTACCCCTGCCGCACGCTCCGGGCCTACCTTCAAGTCTCCGCGGCTGCCAGGCCTGGACACCTACCTTTTGTTGGGCTTGCTTTCGGTGCCCAGGCCTCAGCCTCTGCGAGAGAAAGCTGGCTTTGTAAAGGCACAGAAAAGTGCAGACACCCGGCTTCGCCCCCTCACATCCCCCCCCCCCCGTGAGGCAGGAGGACGAGGGTGGCAGACAGCTCTACCTGGTACGTAAGGCACTTTATACAACAGACCCATTTATGGTCACTCGAAATTTTGTTTAGAAAAAGAAAGGTTTAATGATCAGACGGTAACATTTCTGTTGGGCAATATTAGACATGCCCAATTCCGCTACATCTTATCTGTGCCCCGGCAAGTTGGTTTGCCGTTCAGTTTCTCCTTATGTGAAATGAGGATAAAATTATATCCCAGCAAGGAAGTAGACTTTATGTCTTTTCCTTTGGACCCTAAGGATGTTTATCCATTAAAATGGAATAAAGGACCTAAAAGTTGCCTGCTAAAGTATAGAGAATCCCGAGGTTACCCAGGGTCTTGGAGTCCCACAATACCGGTTCTTATCATCCAGTAGACTTCCAACTCTTTGTTGTGTCCTCAGCCCTGATTTGGTATTTCCTAGTAGTCTTGGGGATTTTCTTAGTACCATCCTTCTATCTGGGCAAGAGGAGATTCTGCTTCCAGACCATCACCCTAGGGCTCCACTCTGGTCCTCTTCCCCACGGGACAAGAAGCTTGAGTCACTAAGTGGACCTGTCAACCCCAAGCCTACATTCACCTTCTCAACCATACTCTGAGTACCTGGTTTTTGAAATTCTGGTACAAAATAGGCCTAACCCACTTCCAAAAAAACGTAGAGTGCTTAGGCTTGGCCACACCACAGCCTAGTCTTGGTTTGAGACTGGGTCCAAATTGAAATTTAGAGAAATTTATTTTATTTTATTTTTTATTTTTTTGAATTGGAATCTCACTCTGTCGCCCAGACTGAAGTGCAGTGGCCGTCTGGTCACTGCAGCTTCCACCTGCTGGGCTCCGGCGATCCTTCCACCTCAGCTTTCCAAGTAGTTGGAACTATAGACGTGCGCTACCACGCCCAGCTAATTTTTGATTTATTGTAGAGATGAGGGCTCGCCAAGTTGCCCAGGTGGGTCTCGAACCCGCGGGCTCAGGCAATCTACTCACCTCAGCCTCCCAAAGCGCGCGATTACAGGCTGAGCCACCGAGCCCGGCTGAAATTTGTAAAAATTAAAGGATGCTCCTACTCTAGTTTACTCCAAAAAGGACTAATAAGCATTGCAAAAACAATGTGTAAATAGGAGAGGTGCTGGTGGGTAGATGAAGTTGCTCTCCATCTCTACCTTATCTAAGGGATGCGGGCCTGGAATTTGGCTTTGTTTTTCAGGATTGATGGTGTTTATCTCTGGAAGCTGGTGACCTGGAGGTAGAGAAGGATAGAGCAAAATAGAGGTTTGCAGCAGACAACAGACACTCTTGCGGTTGTCCTGCCCATTGTGCCCATCACAATGTATCTTTCTTTCTTTAATAAATCTACCTTTCTTAGTTCAAAAAAAAAGAGATGTTGGATGGGGTAGGGTGGGAAATGGGAAAAAGAAGATTTTTACATGTAGCAATGTCTACCAGCCCTCTTCCTTCTTAAATGATTGCGACTTCCCCTTTATATCTAGATTTCATGGAGTTTTGGTTCCTTTTAAACTTACATTACTATGTCCTGACATAAATTATTGTGACAATGGGTCAGTTTGCAAATGATTTTGAAAGGAATTAGTAATCATGCAATCATTCCCATCAGTTTTTCCATTTGTTTTCTCTAATCAATTTACCTACCACTTCAAGGGAATGAATCATCCTTAAAAATTCCCTAAAATACTTCTTTCAGTCCATCACTTCTCACTCAGAAACCTTCAGTTTCTTTTTTGTATCAGGGATGTTGACCAAACTCTAGCATAAAGACATGATAAAATACAATTTTTATTAATAAAATATTTTGTTTTAAAATAAACTCTGTCACCTCTACTCAACCTACCTGCCCCAAGAGGATCAGTGACCTCTACTAGTATTGGCAAAATTCAGGAGAAACTTTTCAGTCTTCAACATAACTTGTCTGAGGCTTTTGACACTGTTGCTTCTTCCCTCCTTGGGTCACTCTTCCAAGCAGCAAACTGAGTCGGGACCTTATGAAACCTAAGGTATTTCTGCTTCTTCTAGTTTATCCTCTCTTTTCTGCCTTTTACTAACTGATACTAAAGTTAGTCTGAAAAAGTAAAAGAATTTTCAGGAAAAACACGAGACTACAATATTTAAGAATAAGCTGACAGATAGATGGGGAGAATAGGACATTGGGAAAATGACCTAATGCCAATAATTTATTATAAGATAAAGGGGAAATTGCAGGTTGGTGCTTTACATTCAATAAATGATCTTGAGACAACTGGCTAGCTATTTTGTAGGGGAGAAAAATCCTATCTCACTTCTTATATAAAAATACATGCCGCCAGGCTCAGTGGCTCAGCCTGTAATCCTGTGCCCTTGGGAGGCTAAGGTGAGTGAATTGCCTGAGCCCGCGGGTTCAAGACCCACCTGGGCAGCGAGACCTCATCTCTACAATAAATCAAAAAATCAGCCAGGCATGGTAGCGCATGCCTGTAATTCCAGCTACTCGGAAGGCTGAGGCGGAAGGATCGCCGGAGCCCAGC